ATTCGGGTTGCGGCCAGAGTCACGGAACGAATTAAGTTCGTAAACCAAGGTTCCACTGTATGTATCACTGAAACGTTACAAAAACCTACGCTATCATTTATTCTAGATATTATAAACATATGGAGTGAAATCCAATGTTGTAGACTTTATTTTGGACAACCATACCACTTACAGTCTTCCTGTGCAGCTCCAAAATTTTCCCCAGAGGCCCCCTTCCAAAACTGCTCCATCTTTGAACAGAAGCACACAGTTAAATTTTACCCATGATGTGCAATCCATATAACACAGAAACAAAATGGAAGGGAAAGATTAAACACATCCATATAATACCAGAGAATATATCTCTTTTCAAAAACCGAAAGTATATATTCTAATTAAATATAAAACATAGACCTAATGTAAATAGTTTTACCAGTTATTAAAAAACACTATTCAGAGTAAACAGTGTTATGCAAAGTGCAGAAAAAATAACAAGGAAGCAACAGAGGCAGGACACAAGATGAAAACAAAAGAAAATCTACGCAAATCAAATTTATACAAGTAGTCCTTGGGTTACGATGGTAATTGGGACTGAAATTTCCATTCTTCAGCGATGCAGCCATAAAGCGCGATGTCACAACTGCATTGCTTAGTGGCAGAAATCCCAGCAGTCTCTGTTGCCGTTGTTAACTGAATCCCACCAGATGTTAGGCAAGGACCCACTCTGATCCAAGCCATTCCCGGCTTGGTCCCTCCCAACCCTGAGCCTTGGTAAGATAAGGGACTGCCTCCTCTTGAACTCCCCTAACCTGCCTATCTCCCCTCCGTGTCTGCCCTTTTGGCTGCTCTGCACAGCAGCACTCCCAGGTGGTGGCGCTGGCACCAAAGTAGAGGCCTGGGGCCTTCAGCAGCCTCAGCTGGCTGCCACTGCAGCCCCAGCACCCCCAGTGAGTGCCATCTCAAGCCTCGCACCGTGGCCAGCTGCATGTGCCATTCTACAAATCATGCATGCCATTCTTCAAACTGGACATGCCCTTCAGTACTCCTCGGCGGCGGCACCAGTGGCACTAGGACTGAAGTAGAGGTCCTGGGTGGTGGCAGCCAGCTGAGACTACTGAAGACCCTGGGCCTCTACCTCAGCCCCAGTGCCAGTGGCGTTGCCACCACCATGTGCCATTGTGCAGGGTGGCCAAAAGGGGGGAGATAGGTGGGTGGGGAGAGTTGAAGTGCCTCTGCAGTTGTAAGTGCGGGCGGGCTGCCAAGCACCAAAAATTTTGATCACATGACTGGGGGGGGGGCGTTGCAACAGCCATAACTTTGGGGACCAGGCATAAGTACCATTCGTTCAGTGCTGCCCTAACTTCGAATGTTAACCGAGGACAACCTGTACCAGCAACTCTCCATCTTTGGCTCTGTCATGCTTCTGCACTGATTCATACATTGCCTTTTGTTCTTTAAACTTGTTTTCAAAATCTTATCAACTCCATCTAACACACTTTCTCCTTCTTTCTTTTTCCCTCAACTCACTCATATATCAAACAGTTCTGCAGTTCTCAGCACTCATTTTTGTATTCCATCTACAATCTACACTCATTCATTACCATTTGTTCATTCTTTTACCACATATACTTAAGTACATATTCCTCTAGCATTCATTTCTAACATATATAATTCCAGATATAACAAAGTAGATAGAAGACAGCTCTTCTACCTAGTCATTTTTGTTTCTTTGCCAGCAGGCCACAAAGTGGCCACTCCTTTTCTACAGTATTTGCATATTCTTGGAAAACTAAATTTATATTTATATCATCAAAGTGGATATTTTGCTCACCTGCACATTGAATAAGCCAGTATAATTTAAACTGCACACAAACTCAACATATACAATGTACTGTTTCAAATACATGAAAAGCTGAATGCATATCTATTTTTCTTACAATAGATATACTTTTTCTATTTTTCTTACAATAGATATTACTTAAATTAGTATTCCTAATCTACACATCCTAACATCCCACCTAGCATGAAGGTAACAAAAATACTACTCCAACATAGAGAGCCAGTTTGGTGTAATGTTTAAAGGGACTGAGCTAAAAATCAGGAAACAGTAAGTAAGTAAACGGCACAGACAGTTCTGAATGCCCCTAGGAGGGCACATATAACACTGCTGTTACGTGAGCTGCATTGGTTGCGAGTTTGCTTCCAGGTCCAATTCAAGATGTTGGTCATCACCTTTAAAACCCTTCATGGCACAGGACCGGGTTATCTGAGGAGCTGTCTCGTCCCGGTTACTTCAGCCCGCCCCACTCGGTCCAGCAGAAGGGGCATGTTGCAGACCCCACTGGTCAAGGAATTTTGACTGGTGGGTTCAAGGCAGAGGGCCTTTTCTGCTGTGGCCCCCACCTTATGGAACAATCTACCTCTCGAGGTCTGGTGTGCCCCCACTCTCATGGCCTTCAGGAAAGGGTGAGCCTA